GATGCAAAGTAGTTCCATCGCCGGATGCCTGTTTGGGTTAAATGTGACATTCAGTTCACAAAGCTTTCAGCTGAAGTAATTCCTTTTGTGAAAAAGTGCTTTGAGTTACATGAGGGACAAACAAGTTTCTTTCATTTGAAAGAAACTGAGGTACAATGAAAGCATGGCACCATCTCTTACTTCCTTGAATGCCATCCTTGCACACAAGTGTCAGCACAAATTCATCCACCTCTTTAAAAGGAGACAGCTTCTGTTCACCCAACAGATCTACAGTATATGGAGAGGGCAGAGTGAAAAGTGTCCACTTGTAGTTAACTGTCAATGCTGTGAACAGTAAAGCATGACATTCAAGCAGGGTAAATGCAGTAAATGCACATTTTAAGTGAACCACATTGAGTTAATTTGCTCACAAATCCTATTCTATAAACCACTGATAGCACTTGGGGGTGTTAATTTGTATTTCTCATTACCAGAGCTGTGTGACTCTATCTGAAGGGTCGAACACTGAGATCCTGCTGTACTCTTCTGTGGCATATCATAAGTCAAAATCCTCTGTCCTGTGAAACTAATGCAAAACAGATATGTGTGTTAGTTAGTGTGTGTAAAATTCAGTATTCTAAAACAAAGATACAATCACAAAAAAAGCTGGCCCCACCAGAATGTGGACAACATGTTTACACAAAGATGTAAAGATGCATACAAATAACCTGATATTGGTGATTAAGGAAGCTAAAAATATGTATTCTTCTTTTGTGGTGTGCTTGGAGGGCTTTGGGACAAACTTGTTGTCTTTTGCCACACAAAATGCTGCATTCTTTCCCAGTTTGGAGGACTTGTAGAGACGGAAGTTTCTGTTCTTGGTGTAGACTCCTTCAAAAGAGAACAGAATGTTATTAAAATGAAGGACCATTTTCTTGTCCCTTACATTCATTGCAGTGTACTTTAAATCGTATATATATATAAACTACATTCTGATAATATAATTTGAATGAAGTGTCATTAAGCGTAATTAAAGAGAGTACACTTTCATGGCAACGTTTTTAAACACAGTTAAGTACACTGTATAATAATAATGTCAAATTAAAAGTTTTATTTTAATGTTTATTTTAAATAATGTTTGAATAAAAACTTGATTTTTGTCTCGATTTAAAGAAGTACACTGACTTTGCTGTGCTGACTAATATACTAAAGCACACATAAAGTACTTGATTATAATTTTAACTGTTGTGTTATTCAAAATTACATTTTAAGTAAATATATTAAATGTACTAAATTGCAAGTTCATCATTACAAAGGTAAATAAAATGACAAATATATTTAAATACACAACATAAAATGACATTAAGGTATATTGCAGATTACCATAAATTAAATGTACTTTACTTTTACCATATTTCAAAGATAATAGAAGTAATTATGAATTTAAATGTAGTCATGCAACTATTTGCATTTTATATAAATGTAAATTTAAAAAGCTATTTCAAATTTTAAAAGCATTTTCATTTAATTGTATAATAACATTTAATTAAATGTCAGAAAACATTACATTCTGTTCACACTTTTAAAATATATTCTTTATGTTATAAGTATTCTTATTCATTTAATCAACAGCAAAGAAGTTGCAGTGAACAGTAGTCCTTTAAAGTCAATTGTGTCATTGAAACAATACATTTTTCAAGACGTTGTAGACTAAAGTACAACCTATTCATTCTTACCCAGGTCAACAAAAAGTTGTTCTTGTCCATTTTTGCTCTTCACTATAAGAAAGTCAAGATCCTTCTCTTCATACTTTCTTCTCTTGGCCTGAGAACCATCCACATCATCTCTGTTCTCTCTTGGACAGACTTCTGTTGTAGGTGCCTCTGGTTTGCTTTAAACCAAATCAAACCAATATGATATTATATCAGAAACAGAAGGATGTAGAAATGTAGAACATTGCAAAAATATAAAAGATGAGTTTGTGAGAAACAGATTCAGTTCTAAGTTCTGAGTTTGGTCACAGCTTCCAGCATTTGTCATCTCACCTTTTTTGAAGGCTTTTTAGAGCAGGATGCAGGATATCATGAATAAATCGCCCTGCAAACATGCACACACACATCACTATCACAGACTGCAACAAATATATCTGCATCAACCACCATGTAATCACTCTTTGTACATGTTGATGATTGAACAATGACTCACCTACATGAGAGTTGTCTTTGAATGCAGCACTGGGAAGCATGAAGATAAGATGGCGACTAAACTTCTCAGAGGTGCTGGAGTCTAGATTAAGGACATCTCTTGCAGAGCAGTGTAGACCATAAACCTCCTCTAGCTTCTCACACACATACTGTTTTTGTATATGGAGGAACGTTTTGAAAGTATAATTATTACTATCTAATATATCTAATAGTTATACTATTTTTTTAGTATAACACACTATTCAAACGTTTGGGGTCAGTAAGATTTTTTTTGTTGTTTTTAAAAAAAAAAGGTCTTTTGAGCTCACCAAGGCTGCATTTATTTGGTTAAAAATACACTGTAAACAGTAACATTGTGAATTATTATTACAATTTAAAGTAACATTTTTTATAACTTAATATAATTTAAAATGTAATTTATTCATGCAATGGCAAAGCTTAATTCTCAGCAGCCATTATTCCAATCTTCAGTGTCACGTGATTCTTCAGAAATCCTCCTAATATGCTGATTTGGTGCTCAATAAAAATGTCTTATTATTATAAACGTTGAAAGCTGTTGTGCCGCTTAATATTTTTGTGGAAACAATTATACATTTTTAAAAAGATATGTTTTGATATTTAAAGGGGTCATATGATGCTTTTTTAAAGATCATTA